CTTTTGTTCCTGCTGCTCTTCTTCTGCTCTTTTGTTCCTGCTGCTCTAACCCTCACACAGAGAGCTGCCCCCCCCACCAGGCCTCTGCCCCCCGACCCCCCCGACCAGGTACAGTCTATCCGTCGTGTTTCTGCCTGTGTTCACGCCCAGCTGTGTCACGCTGCAGAGTACTAGTAACTAGTAACTAGTACAGATGTCGCTAACTAGTATTAGGCAAGGCTAGTTTATTTGTATCGCACATTTCAACAACAAGGTAATTCAAAGTGCTTCACATAAAACCACTAAAAACATCAAAGCATAAGGCAAAAGAAAAGGAGATTTAAAAACAATTAAGAACATTCATTAAAACATTAAAAACAGTCATAAAACACTAAAAGCAGTGTAAGAAATAAAATACAGTAGTAAAATGCAGAAATGCAGGAATGTATTAATATCCTTGAATGTGGTTGAAGTAAAGGCAGCAAACAGAAAAGTCTTCAGTCCTGATTTAAAGGAGCTGAGGGTCTCAGCAGACCTGCAGCTTTCTGGACTTTGTTCAGATATGTGGAGCAGAACACCTGAACGCTGCTTCTCCATGTTTAGTTCTGACTCTGGGAACAGAAGGTATTAGTACATAGAACAGAGTACTGCTAACTAGACACTAGTATAGAGTACTAGTAACTAGTACATAATACTAGTAACTACAACAAAGTACTACTAACTAGTACTAGTACATAGAACAGAGTACTGCTAACTAGTAACTAGTACGAAGACAAGTAGAAGTATAAAGTATCATGAAATAGAAAGACTCAAACTATTACTAGCGTATTTCCTTCTTCTACTGCTTTATACTTCTGTTCATATCAGAGTAAATATATTCTTCACCGCTCTACATTTATAGTTTATTTACAGATTCAGGTTATTGATCAGCTAATAATGATGATGTTATATTAAAGATTAAACTAACAGCAGAATATAAAGTCATTAAAGTGATGAACACATGAATATAACACATTAATATCATGTAAATCAGTCGTTCACAAGCACTGGGTCGGGACCCTCAGGTGGTCGCAGGTTTTAATCTCTCGTCTTTAATTCAACTTTTCTATCTGCAGTTCAGCTTTGAGCCTCATGAGGGAGCTGAATGTTCCTACTGACACTAAAGACAGTGAATGTAACACGTTTGACTGATGACAGGAAATAAAAAGACTCATTTATGAAACAAAGGAAACCTCTTCTAAGATCATATCAGGTGATGTAGAAATGGCAGAAATAATGGATGGATTTATAGATTTATTTATTTATAGATTTATTGATTTATAGATTTATAGATTTATTGATGAGGCCTGTTTATAATTCATTGGTCCCCAAAAAAACGTTTAGAAACACTGATTTATATATTTCTACTTAGTGAGTACTTTTACTTTTGGTACTTTAAATATATTTACTTGAATAACAGTTTTGAATGCAAGACGTTTACTTGTAACAGAGTATTTGTACACTGTTGTACTTTTAACTATATAAAGATCTGAGTACTTCATCCAGCAAAGTCTGCAGCATGATTCTTCTTCCTGTCTCTACGTTTTAATCTGCATGCTGCGCTAATCACTGTATTTTAAATGTAACAGACGCAGCACGTTGTTTCTGTTTTCCTCCTGACTTCCTCTTCTCATCTTCCTCTTCCTCCTCACTAACCCTCCAGCTGCTGGGGAGGCGACCGGCTCCGCCCAACAAGGCCCTCCCCCCCGACCCCCTCACACCTGGACAGGTACATCGCACCTGCTAGCTGTTAGCACGTAGCTCGCATGTACTCAGCATGTAAACAGGATGTGAATCGTTGGTCCTGATTGAGAGGATTTTACTGGTTGAATCAGAGTATCAGGTGAGCTGTGATTGGTTGGTCACGTGTTCTGAGATCTGACATCACGATACCCGACAGCTGTACTGCTTCAGGGACAAAAGTGAGCATCAGGCTCGCCAGTTGCAAGCAGAGTCATGTGACACTCTCTCTGCTCACAACAATGCTGCTGTTTTTATTCACTAATTCATTAATTACACTCCGTTCCACTTTGCTGTTTTCTCTCCGTACCATCAGTGAAAATCACTTCCTCTACATGTTTCACAATAAAAGTTTACTAGGAAAGCTTTTTCAGCTGCTAAAATGCTTTTACTTTGAAGCATAGTTGCAGGAAGTGTTGAGTTTTGTTGACGGTACATTGAAAACAATGAATACAAGTTTAAATAACATATAATCAGAATAGATGAAGTCAATAATGAATCTGTGGAAGAAGAGGAACTCATACACTTTGTTGCACTGAGGTTCCTGTTTATTTCCCATGATCCTCTCTTCAGGTTCCTGTTCCACTCAAACCTGTTGTGCCCATAAAGCCCCGCCTGCTGCCCCCGCCGACCCACCCCCTCACCCCCCCCCACCCCGGCTACACCACCGCCACCAAACCACAACACAGAGCCGGACGCAACAGGTACGGACCGTCCCACCAATAACTAGTTAATAACTAGTTAATAACTACAACTAGTTATTAACTACTAGTTATTAAGTAGTTATTAACTATTACTAGTTAATAACTACTTAATAACTAGTTATTAACTATAACTAGTTGTTAACTATAACTTCTTAATAACTAGTCATTGCTATAACTAGTTAATAACTAGTTAATAGTTATTAACTAGTTAATAACTAGTAATAGTTACCACAAGACTCAGACCCTCAGGGGGTAAAATCCTAAAGTGGGGACGTTTTAGATATTTATTTTCTATAGTTTTCTAAATATTGTGACTTTATTTTTATTTTGTAAATGTGACTTTACTCTCAGAATATTATCAGCTTTCATCTGAATAATAAAACATAAATTGTTTTATTGTCTCTCTGCAGACGACCTCCTCTTCCTCCCTCTGAGCCTCACAAAGTGGACTCGTCTCCTCTTTAGCTGACTCAGCGTCTTCAGAGACATTTAATCTGAAGACGCTCACACAAAACATGAAGAAGATGAAGACTTTATTACCCACTTTGCACTCAGTCGTCTGATTCTCACTGTAAATAGATGTTAGCGTGCCTTGCTCAGCAGCACCGGGACACTCGGGACTTGAACCTCTGACCCACGGCCACATTAAAGTGTCTTGGTGTCATGAGTTCAGTGCCCCAGCAGGGGTTCAGTGCCTTGCTCAAGGACCCAGAGACGGGGATCGAACCTGTGATAACAGTAAAGAGTAACTGGCAGAGGGGTTCTCAAACTGTGGTCTGGGGCCCTCTGCTGGACCCTCTATAGGCTCCTCTACTGGACCCTCTGCTACAGGACCCTCTGTGGACCCTCTCCTGGACCCTCTGCTACAGGACCCTCTGTGGACCCTCTACTGGACCCTCTGCTACAGGACCCTCTACTGGACCCTCTACTGGACCCTCTATAGGCCCCTCTACTGGACCATCTACTGGACCCTCTACTGGACCCTCTATAGGCCCCTCTACTGGACCCTCTGCTACAGGACCCTCTGCTACAGGACCCTCTGTGGACCCTCTCCTGGACCTACTGGACCCTCTCTGAGGAGTTTCATGAGAAATATTTTTTCACTTTCAAACTTGGTTTTTTAGAAACCACAGAATGTAGAAGTTTTTTTAGAAGAGCAGATGAATGAACGAATAGATGACATCATCATGGAGTTATAATCTTATAATCTTCTTCTCAAGAAGTAAACGTTTATTATTATTGAATCATCATCAGATGGTTTAAAGAGTTCTTCACCAGAAGAGGACCGGTCTGAAGACTTGAGATCAGATGAAGGTTTAAAGGTTTAGACTGATGGCGTGTTTATGATGCGTTCAGGGACACAACCTGAGAGTTTCAGAATAAAGTTCAAAATTTTTTATTTTATGGAAAACATGATTAATTGTCTAAATATTAAGACCTTTTTCTTGTAATATTGAGACTTCTTTCTCGTCACCACTTTATTTTTTCATATTCATTAATTTTCTCAAAATATTTTTTGCATTTTTCTAAATTAATTTGACTTTATTCTTGAACTCTTAGACTTCCTGTTGAAGTGATTTTATTTTAACTCTTAAATCTTCTGACAGCTGGACCAGAAGTGAACCCTCTTACTGGGAGAACTGGTCCTAGTAAACCCCGTCTGGTTCTGCTGGATCAGGTTTTAGTTATTTTTCTAACCCGACTTGAGATTTCTATCTGAGACAAAGAAGAATGTTTGTAACGTTACGCCAAAGACGAGCTGGATGAAAAATATAAAGGATTCATCTGATGTGATGCTTTTATTTTGAAGGAGAATCTTTTTATTTCCCTTTTTACTTTTACTAGTTCTTTGACAATAGATACATTATTTTATACAAAAACCTTTGATTCACTGAACAAAACAAGAGTTCTTAAATGTACAAGAATTGGTTGGTTGGTTGATTGGATGGTTGATTGGTTGGTTGATTGGTTGATTGGATGGTTGGTTGATTGGTTGGCTGGATGGTTGATTGGATGGTTGGTTGATTGGTTGATTGGATGGTTGGTTGATTGGTAGGCTGGATGGTTGGGTGGTTGGTTGGATGGATGTTTGGTTGATGGATTGATTGATTGATTGGTTGATGGATTAGTTGGTTGGTTGGATGGTTGGTTGGTTGGTTGGTTGATTAGTTGGTTGGTTGGTTGATTGATTAGTATTCATGCTGTTAGCGTCTTGTTGTCTCCATGTTTGCTGCTAGAGGAAAACGTCCTCAATAAAACTGTTTCTACGTTTGTTCGTCTACACGTTGAGTTCAAAGTACCAGTACCCTTAAAGTGATACTGATACTAATAGAGTACTTCATTTTGTACTTTATATACTTCTACTTTATTTGACACTCATCATTTAAATGAAAGCATTCAGCTTCAGTCCGTCAAAGATGCTGAACTCGACTGAACGTGTTGTAGCTGCTTCAGTCGTCAGCCAATCACACGACGCCTTAAAGTCATAGAAGTCTATGAGAAAATGACTCTACTTCTCTCAGTAAACATTGCAAACATGAGTTTATGGTCTCAATCTCTAGTTTCAGGTCTTCTTCAATACAGCATGATGTTCATTTAGTACATTATGGTCCATTTAGAGTCAAACAGACCATAAAGCAGGGGATGCTTTAGGGCGGGGCTACACGGTGATTGACAGGTCTCTACCAGAGACGTATATGGCGTCTCTACGTCACTCCTCAGTCCATATATGGTCACTTCCTGTTCACTGGTTGTTAAAAACAGCAATATGGTAAAATGCCGAACTTGAGGCTTTTAAAACGTCTACAAGCGTCTCCGTGACTGTTTTTTAGGACAACAAGTTGTTATTGATTAGTGAAAGAAATATAGGCGGGTAGGAGGAGTCAAACAAACAGGGCTTTCACTCAGGAGACCACAGTTCCTGTCCTGTGTGGAGCTGAAAGTAACCTTCTTCAGCTCCTTATGTGTGTAAATGACTCTTAAGAGGGTCTGTTAGTAAGGTGAATATTTCCTACAAACCTTTATTTGCAAGTTACCTCAGATAATCACTTCCTGACAGCTTTTATTTTGTAAGTGCCTTTTTTAACATTTTGGGTCCTTTATTTTGTAATCCTTCTTGGCGAAACAGGAAGCAGATACAAACCTCATCAGTGTCGTAACTTGACTTCCCATAAAGAAAGGTGTTCTTTATTAACGGTTAAGCTCTGGAACAGGAACAACGTATTGTGTGTTTATTGTGTTTATTGTGTTTAGTGATATTTATCTTAATTAACCTGTAAAAGGTGATCAAATGTATCACTGCTTCAACTACATGCCAATCCTCCCCCTCTTCCTCCTTCTCTTCCTCCTCCTCTTCCTCCTCCCCCCTCTCCTCCTCCTCCTCCTCCTCCTCCTCAGTAAAGAGGAAGTAGTGGTGAGTCCTCTTGAGTGTTTCTTCAGTCAGACTCAGTCAGTTCAGAGAGTCGGTCCATCAACAGTGAAGAGGAAACATCTTCATTAGCTGCTCCTCCACCAGCTGCTCCTTCATCATGGGTCCATCCCTCCTCCTGCTCCTCCTCGGCCTGCTGAGCTCCACCGGCTCGCTGCCTCCTCCACGAACCTCCTTCCTCCTCAGTGAGTCCAACAAACGTTTCTTACTCTGTGTTTGTGTCTAAAATGTTTTATTCTTAAGACACATTTTGTTTTATTTTGTGCTTTTATGAATCACATTGATAACTTTTACTTTTCTTATCAGGTAATTTATCTGTATTATTATTGATCATATTATTATTATAGTCCAATCTGACGTCTATAGATGTCATGTTTCGTCTAACATCCAAAACTAATCATAAAATATTGACATTTGAGAAGCTTTAACTTGAGTTTATGTCTTTATTGCATAAAAACGATGAATAATTGATGAATTGATCTCGGTGAGTTTGTATCATTTGTTGTCAATAAATGTATTTTATTCGTCCACCAAACAGATTTATGTTAAGTATTGTTATTGTTATTTAAATATGACAAACTAGATATTTAATTATTCGGTATTCGATCTGGTTTGGTCACATGATCGACGTCCTCTCTGATGTTTACAGGAAAGTGATGAAGACATGTTGTCTGTCAATATCAACATGTTTATACAGCAGCTGGTTAGCTTAGCTTAGCATGGAGACTGGAAACAGCTAGCTTAGCTTAGCATAAATACTGGAAACAGCTAGCTTAGCTTAGCACAAAGACTGGAAACAGCTATCTTAGCTTAGCATACAGACTCGAAACAGCTAGCTTAGCATAAAGACTGGAAACAGCTAGCTTGGCATAAAGATTGGAACTGGATCCTCTTTCATTGATACGTCACTAAACAATCATGTAGAGATGAGTTGTGAGTCGTTAAAGTCTGCAGATTGTGTGAATCACACTGTGAGACGTCGTGTCTTCTTATTTTAAACTCTCGTCTCTTCAGATTCTGAGAACAGATACAGAGTCTTTCTCTCAGCTCTGAACCACATCCTCTCAGACCTGAACCACTTAGTGGGCCTCAGAAACAGGAAGTGGGTCAGCTGACTGCTGAAGTGTTGCTGGTTATTATTATTTATCTCTTATAGTCTCAGTGTGGTTTACATTTAGAACCAGGTTTCTGTTTAGACCCCCATCGATGTGAGAAGAACCACACAGCATTAATAACTGATTACAGACGTGGTGCATGATGGGAAGGCGGGGGGTCCTGAGACCACTGACTGTAGTTGTTCAAGAACCATCGATATGCTTTGGAAACTGACTCAGTTGTAGTTTAATGATCTGAACCTCTTCAGTGGTTCACGAGGCTGCTACGAGATGTACCAGAAGAAATACACGAGAATCCAAGACAATACAACACAAAATGTACAAGAGAAATAAAGGAATAAAATAGAATATATATGAAATATAGGCTAAAATACTGGCAGACAAAAACATAAACTGAGCTGTGTGCAGCTATCAACAGGAAGTAGAAGTAGTATGAAGGTAAAGTGTACCAGTACGCTGTGAGGTCATTATTATTATATATGTATGAATAATATATGTAAATATAGAATATATTATATCAGAATCAGAACCGTTTATTGCCAGGTACGTTACACATACAAGGAATTTGACCCAATGACTGGTGCATAAAAATAATCACAATAATCAATAATATAATAATAATAGAAAAATATTAAAATGTACAATAAATTATAGTAAACAAACAAACAGATAACAGTACGTTAAAACAAGTATATCATAAAAGTGGCAAGTGTATTTAAATATAGAAAAATAATAATTTAAGTATTTAGTTTAAATTGGTATTAAACGTGATGAGTGGAGTTCCTCAGGGCTCAAGGCTGGGTCCTCTAATATTTAACATTTACACGCTTTAATCAGACAACTTCATACAAAACAATAACGTCAACAATCATAATTATGCAGATGACACAGAAATGTTCCTTCTCTGTAGATTCTCACTGAGAGCGTTAAGAAAATAAAAGATTGGACTTTACCTTTTTAAATACCGACTCTGTTTGTTTGTTTGCATCCAGACTCTCCGGACCGACCTCTGGTCCTCTTCAGCCCCCCTGACGTCCACAACACAACCACGCTGTTGCTAAGCGACGACGGATCCACCCTGTACGTGGGGGCGCGGGACGCCGTCCTCTCATTGGACGTCAGTCGGAGTGATGTCATCAGGCTGAAGAAGAAGGTGAGCCGGAGTTAAAGCTACTGAAACTCCCATCATGCTTTGCTTTATCTATATGTGAAGTCCTTTATTAAAGTCTGTCTGTCTGTCTGTCTGTCGTCCAGGTGGAGTGGCATCCATCTCAGAGTGAAATAAATGACTGTCAAAATAAAGGAAAGAACGCAACGGTAATTATGAATAAACCTCGATCCTCATTGATTTATGATGATTTTTTTGCTCTGTCTAGTCTGATGTGAACGTTTTCTTCTCTGTCAAATGCTGCGATGCTAAGCTAAAAACACACTGAAAGGGTGAAAGCTGGTAGAGACCTGTCAATCACCGTGTAGCCCCGCCCTAAAGCATCC